GGAAACTTGTCGCGACGTGGCGCGGAAGTTGGTGCATCGTCCGCACGACAATACTCGTAATTAGGTTATAACCTATTCGTTGGGCGGAGGAAGCAGAACGGGCGCGATGAACGCGCGTAAAAGCTGTCGGCCTGCCCCATTCGGAATCAGCTCGTATTTTCAGCGATGTCGGTGCATTTTGTTTACGACTCGAAGCACTACAGCTCGGCGCAGAGAGAGGGAGAGAGAGAACAGCCCACGACCCGTGGCGGACGTTTCGGCCATTAGCATTTTCGGACGCTCATGATTTATTCATGAAGAAGCCAGCCGCGGCGCGTGCACTCGCGCGCACGCCATCAGAGCGGGCAGCGAGCGAATGGCATCGGCCTACCACGGGAAGCGCGCAACAATGCATTATGATTTACTGTCCGAAGGTATGCGTGAGATCGTTATATAAATGCTCTCTGTTGTTTAAGTACATGCACGAAACGTTCCCTCTGATATCCCTGAGAAATTTCCATGGACGATCACGTAGTTAGACGGACCGCGCGCGGCAACCTTAATCGCCATTATGTCCGTGCAGCATTTATGCCGGAAGTCGAACGGATTCGCCTGGTTCTCCCTTGACGAAATAAACGTCTCACGGGTCGGATGTGTACGGTTTGATGTGTTTGCTGCGAGAATGTTGTGGAAACGTGAATGTTCCAGGGCGTAATGGAAATTGCTTTTCTTTTAGATCGTATAATAGTGATTTAACCTTTTGCAATCGAGTCACGACTGAGAAGCGACGTTAATTGTCACTTGGTAAATAATTAATCAAGACAGAGAACAGATCTGTGCGCCTCCATAAATTTCTTCACCATAGTGAATGTCGTATACCTCTCTCCTATCTTTCATTAGTTTTTAGTCATCCTGCCTCCTTTCCTTAACTGTAAACAAATCCGTATCATCCTAACGTTAGTCACCTCGAAACCTAGACCTCCACATCATCCTTTACTCATCGCTGAACTTAGACCTCACCGCCTCTCCCTACATTCACCTCTGAGACCAACCCCTACTCTCGTACTTACCTTTTCCGTCGAAACAGCAGATTTTTGTCTAGTGGTCTTCACGCACCGAACGTCACCGAACTGTCTAATAAAGTCGAATAGTACTACGCGCAGAACAGCTCCCTTATTTCGCCCCAGTTTCCGTCAGGCTCTCCTACCGCGTACCTATTGAATATAATAAACCAACGCAAGGAATCGCGAGCCGTGGAATACAACATGAAATAGAGAATCACTCGAATAGTACTACGCGCAGAATAGCTCCCTTATTTCGCCCCAGTTTCCGTCAGGCTCTCCTACCGCGTACCTATTGAATATAATAAACCAACGCAAGGAATCGCGAGCCGCGGAATACAACATGAAATAGAGAATCACCATTGAATATTTAAATAAAACAGTGTAGTTTGTTTCGGCGTTAGTTTCGAAAAATTTCAAAGAAGATCCGATTTGCAACCCATCCTATAGGAAAATCACCTCTAAGAAGAGTTATATGAACTTTCACACGTTCGCTAGCAAGCGTCACAAATCTGTGACGTGTATTATCGACGAGAAAATTGTTATCAAGAAAATGCACAGTTTGAGTATTTAACCCTTTGACTGCGCGCACTCTCGCACAGAACCGTAAATGTAGACAACAATCGCTACACGAGTGACCAAAATAAAAAAAAGAAATACGGTGTTAGAGTAAGAAAGATGTAAAGGGCGTATATTTACGTCTTTCGTATATGTATACTGATAAATCTGGGAGAGAATATTAGATGTGTATAAGTGCAGGCATCCATCGTATTATGCAAAACTGACGAAAATGTAGATATTAAGACTGTAAATGAAAATAATTCGAAGGATAAGGGACGATGCTGCAGTAGAACTGTGGTAGCGAATGTGTTAAGTTAATATGAAAGTGTAAATGAGCGATCATTCTGCGATTTCTTCTTACACAAATGAACACATTCAGAACCGCAGTGAAATTTGCGGAACGCTCACCACTGTCAGCGTTTCTTATTATCCAAGTGTGCATTTTTGTGCATTTATAAGCAAAAATGTATTGCGCATAAAAAGCAAAAATGTATAAATTAACTGAAAATAGAGTACTCGTTGTAATATTTAGCGAATAAAACAGTTGCCTATCTAGCTTCTATTTCTGTAATTATATTCACGAAAATATGAATTTGCAGAAAAATTCCCAGACTAATTATCATTGATACTTAATTTTTCAGTATGTAATCTGAAATTCACCGTTAGATCACACCGTCCTGAATATATTAAAGAGTTAGACCACTCGTGAGGCTTGACAATGATACCTAACCGTTGATAATAATACGATAATAATTGATTCAATTGAAAACTTTTCATAAGGGCTTCGTTACGTTACCCATAAAGAATACCGAGGCATTTTTCTCATTTAATTTCTTCGTGAAATAACAGTAGTACCCTTCGAAGCATGCGGTGTCTTTGGAACAGGTGATTAAAGGTGAATTTCAAGAATGTAACGAGAAAGATGAATGGAGTCATTCATTAAGAAGAGATTCCAGAGAGTAAGTCTCGTTAAAAGGCATATTAACCCTTTAACTGCTATCAGTGAACATACTACACTATCTAATTTGAACGTTATCACATTTAGATACATCTAGACACTTTCACGTTTCTACAAACTGTACCATAATATATGCGCAAAATTTCAGCGATGGATTCATCGTATAAAAATGATAATAAAAATATTCGTACAAACCTTTGTCTCTATTCCAGTAATTTTGCTCACAAATTGAGCAGTTTATTCGATTGTTTATAAACGACGCTTCATATTTCCATGTACAATTTTTCCGGCTAATGATAAAACATTTAGAGCCTTGTATCGGAGCTAAAAGTGGTTAATTTGAACGAGGTCGGCGATGACAGGTGAACAACTGCTGCGATACAAAAATGGCTGTAATTCGGAAATAAAACCACACACGACAAACGTTCCTATAAATGAATTTTATTACTTTCGCACGCTGAATCAATTACTGAAATTATATCCACACGGATATACTCTCTATATTATTTATTCGACAAACCTGTGGCGACCGCCACGCGGGGCCTACGTACCTAGTCCTGGCGACTCTTGGCCCCCGAGGCGAACATCTCTGGGTTTCTTCGTCCTCGAGGACAAGAGTATCGCCTTGGCAATGTAGGTCCGCGCCCCCACTTCCTGGGACTTTCCCAGGGAAAAGGGGGCTACTTAAGGGAGCCCCGAAAAAGGCACGAGGCATTTCGTCGTGGACATTCTTACCATATGCATCGAGTCGCCTATACACTTTAAAAATAGTTTAAGCGTTGTCGGATTTAAATAAATATATTTTTGTTAAGCAACTTGTAAGGTGCCGTGCGACGCGCCTAGGCAACGACCGCGGGGCCCGAGCCGCAGGGGGCCCTAGACGAGGAGCAGCGCAGGCTGTACTCCCACCCCGCGGCTTGCAGGGCCCTAACGGCCGAAGAAGCGTATAAAGACGGGAAAAAGGGCAGCGGTACACACAATACCGTACATAGCCATCGACGAGCGAACCGACGTTGTTTCAATATCTGTCAGTTTAAGCGCCTGTAATTTTTTACTTTTACAAACTTTAGTGTAATAATTATTTTTACACCACGTCACTTTCAAAAACCTTTATACAAACTTTTTTTATAATTTTCAAACGCAGAATTAATTACTCAAATTATACCCACATATTATGGTACACTTTCGACATCGTTTATTTAACAATATTGGAAATGGGTGATTGAAATAAAATTGTCTTTGTGTAGCTGCTAATTCAATTTATTCTACGACCCTGAAGAAACACCTTTACTGTTTGAAATGCTCTATGGAACTGTCTCCGGACACCCAGAAAGAGAGAGCTGGGGTCCGCTTGTACCTACGAACTGTTTTCTCTATTGTATCGCAGTGTGCAGTGTGCAGACTCGAAGACGAACACCAGACACATCTGGTGGAAGTCCTAGTGTCTTTGTCTAAAAGAATGCAGAGACATTTTTGTCCTCGCTCGATTATTTCTACAGGGTGTTCTTCGAAATAATCCAACAAACAGTTATAAATTACAAAATATTGGATAAAAAGCTGATTTACCTAACGTCACACGTGTCGTCACCGCAGGACCCGAGCCGCAGGGGGCCCTACTAGACAAGGATGAGCGCAGGCTGCACCCCCAGCCCATGGCTTGCAGGGTCCTAACGGCCGAAGAACTATACAGAAACGGGAGAAAGGGCAGCGGCCCACACAATATCGCTCATAGTCATCGACGAGCGAACCGACGTTACTTTAACATCAGTTATTTTAAGCCCTGTAGTTCCTTCGTCTTACACACGTAAACCTAACTTAACTCCTAATTAAGTTCCATAAACAGTGACAATTAACGCTACAACTGAAAGCGTTAACGCAACAAATTTCCTCCAAACAATATCCAATTCTATCGTCGCCTCGTTAAAACCTCCGCAGAATGTTAGCCAGCAAAAAAAAGCACGAAAAAGAAAAGAAAGATCGATGTACATACACCTCGCATCGAAATGTCACGGGATAAAGTTTAAAATTTAAAACGACCTCAACGTTAACCAGTTCACCGTTCCTTCTGCATAATTCAACCATCCTCGAGTTCGCGACGAATTTGCATAAACAGTTACACATTCTCCGGCCCCCTCGGGGAGAGCTAAGAAATAAACAACTAGGCTGGCCGGTTATACGAGATCGCGGCCTGGCGGTTTAAACCGCTTTTCCACCTGGGGTCCACGTCACGTCGCCCGTGGTTCACCCTGCTGCTGTTGCAACACGCCGCTCTCGAACTCGCCAACTTGAAATTTCCCGTGCATTTCACTGCCGTTAAATATTCACCCGGAGGGGGGGTGAAAGTTCGGCGGTCCGCGGGACAACGCCGCGGATCACAGCTCTGCGTGTGTCTAGGTGTGAGAGTGTGTTTGTGAGAGTGTATCGCTTAGATGGAAACTTACCGGTCACCACGAGCCTGGCGTACGAGGAACTTTCCACGGTGTCACCAGTGACACGGTGGACGGTCCGGCATCGATAACTGGACTGGTCGTCGGACGTGGTCACCGAGAAAACGAGAAGCTCGCCAGTAGGCAGCATGTGATGTCTGTCATCTGAAAATAAATTCGTGTCACTGATTCCAGTGATACAATTTTCTTTTCATATACCATTCCATTCTTTTTTCTTTTATTCGTCATTTTCATTCTTCCTTCAACATACAATCTCTCTCTCTCTCTCTCTCTCTCTCTCGTACACACATACTCTTGGTCTCTTTTTTTTTTATTTCATCGAAATTCCACAAGCCAATCGCGACTCGGCAGCGTGGCGAACGCGGTTCCATTAATATGCAAATTTCTTTAATGGAAAATCCTCCTCCGTTGTCCGCGTCCACTGTGCACGTGTCGTAAATCGACGAATAATAAAAATGGGCGGGGGTTTTTAGGGACGGCTAGATGAGGGGGGTTGTCGAGGATACTTGTGAAAGTAGGCTTGTGTTATGGTTAACGGTGGCTAACGACCCCGTTAACCGGGGGAAAAATGAGAATTTCCCCCGCGTCGCTTCGTTTGACCGAAATAACGGCCGCCACTGTGCCCGGTTGGCCCGCGGGGATGCGCACCAGTTAATACCATACAGTCGCGCGCGCGGATCGATGCTCGTAAAAAAATCTCGCGAGTTAGCCGTGCATCAATCGTGTAACCCGTGCCCTCAACGCGGCTGCCTTCCACAGGGGGAAATATAGGCTGGACGCTTTAAGCGAGCGTCACGCCGTGCTCGCGCAGGATTAACTCTTTCATATTTTCTTTTCTTCCTTTTCTCACCTTTCACAATTTTTCCTTCCCCATTCGATGAGAAGTTGACAACGGAAGCGAGGCGAGAAATTACTCCGATCGGTCGAGACGTATGTGTATCGCCGAGAGAAAAGAGATATCGAAAGGGGCAACAAGAAAACAAAAAGAACGAGGGAACATGTAACGCGAACGAGTTGCAACGTGAAGTAAGTTAATTGATTCTGTCGAATCGTGTCTGTACTAATTAGACACCCGTTCACCTGTCCCCTTTTTGCTCGCCCGCCTCGAGGCTTACCGGATTAACAGAAACACGTCCCGCTACCGAATATATAATACCCGCCTAAATGGGGAAATGATGTTTCAAGAGTATTCCTTTCGTGTTAACTTAATATCCCTGAACGCGTCCCGCGCGCAGAGCAGAGAAGCTTCGCGAGTTTTCGAAAATAACGCCTGGGCGGGGGGAAGAGGAGGTTGGGTGATCGATAAACGTGCAAAATTCTCGCGCGATGACGTCAACGAGTGACCGTTCGAACTAACCGTCGCTGATCTTCGTCCGAGGTGATCGTTAATCTCTGAAACTGAGACTTGCGGGTAACCGGATCACAGAGCGTGTATCATACCAGGTAATAGAAGGGCGAGTAACGATCAAGCGGGTTCAATCGTTGCGAATTTTTCCGAGAAGATTCGTACGGTAAGTGGAGAAAATTCGAGGAACTAATAGCGACTAAATTCTTGTCGGTTTACGAGCTCGGGCGTGGAGCTTCGGCAAAGGGACAGGTTTTGGGGACTGAAGGATGCAAAGGTGGAAAAGTGAAAAGGCTTTGAAAAAAAAGGAGGTGGGGGGGACCACCACGATACGGGCCGCGGCTTCTAATGTAAATTACGCGAAATCGTTGCACGAGTGACGCCAGCCGGCACAAAGGAACGCTTTAGTCGCTATTTTTCCTGCTTTTTTCCCCCCTCCCGGCTGACGTGAAATATATTACGTAAATTCCCTTCTTCCGCGAGCATTTTCACCGGGTCCGTTCTCTGTGTCTGTGTATATATACGTGTGCGATGCGTGACGCGGCAGAAAATGCATCGCGCGAAAATGTTTTTGCCCGTGCGTTCGCACCTCGACGTATAAACGACTGCATTTGCGCCGATACAGTATTCATGCCCGTTGTCCCGTCCTCCTCCAACCTTGTGTTCCCATCCTCTCTCCGCGTTTCATCCCGCCCTGTGCACACACACACACAAAGAGAGTGGCGCCCAGTTCTCGCGTACCAGTGTCAATATTTCGTCGTTTGTTGCATCCCGCGTATCCAACCCCCTCGTACCCCGCTCCGACCTTTACGTATTGCATTATTCTCGAGGAAATTGCTCGGAATTCCAGTCGTTGAAACGGTCCGGCTATAACCGCCACTTCGAGTCTGGGAAATATGCACGTAAGTCTGGTGTGTACGACTTAAAGGTCGATGCGGAAGCCACGGCTGCGCCAAAAGACTCGCGTTGAAAGAGAGGGAAAACGGGGCTGGCTATAAAAATGTCTGGACGGTCGACGATTTCACAGCGTCTCGTATTTGCATACGTCGCAAGCAGACGCTGCGAGGTAATTTTATTATTCCACAAATTAACCGTGAAAGGTGTTGAACGCCTTTGTTGCTTGGCGAATCACCGCCTTCGTTTATTGCATTTTTTTTTTCTTTTTGGTCTTGAAAATGGTACTTGGTTTTGGCAGGCAGGTTATCTTCTGGAGACAGACCGAGTGATAAGGCGAAGAATGTACGCGACACGGCTGACTTATCGCGTGGCTCGACTACTGGCAATATTTCAATTGACGAAACGACGGGTGATAAAGGTGAAAGGGGAACGGTTGGAAAAATTCAGTAATAATTTAGTTGACCAGTTGCTTTGTGCATGTACTAATCGATCGAATGGTATAAATTCGGTTCGTTTAACCCTTTCGCTGTAGATTAAATGTGCTCGCTGTGTTAATATTCAATGCTCGCATAAAAATAAAGATACTTATGATTGAAAAACGACTGTTTTATGGTTGTCAAATGTCTAGTGTATTCTGGTGTTGCCTGATATTCAGTCGACGGTGATATTTTGTTTGTGTTATGTGAAAATAAATTAATAAATTGCACGTACCATATTTGATGGTCGTATATGTACGCTCTTAGTAAATGGGTGACCAGTTTTACAGAAAATTTATACACGTTCTTAGTAGCGAAATGGTTAATAAAAAAGGTTTTTCACAAATCAGATAATTCTCCGAAGATACAGCCAGTGATAACTTTAAGAATATTTACGACACGGCTGAATTGTCGCGTGGCTCGACTACTGGCAATGTTTCAATTAACGAAACGTTGGCAGATAAATTCAAAGGGGGCTGGAAAAATTCAGCAACAATTCAGTTCACCAGTTGATTGGTTCATGCGCTAATTGATCGACTGGTATAAACACAGCTCGTTCAATACAGAAGTTTCCTCGAAAGTCAGGTAATTCTCTTACTTGGCCACTTGCTTTGCTAATATTCTAATCGATTGACTGGCATAAACACGGCTCGTTGAATACACAAGATTTTTCAAAAATCAGGCAATTCTCCAAAGACACAGCCAGTGATAACGTAAAGAATATACGCGACACGGCTGACTCATCGCGTATCTCGACTACTGGCAATATTTCAATTCACGAAACGGTGGCTGATAAAGGTGAAAGTGGAACGGTTGTAAAAATTCAGCAATAATTTAGTTGGTTACTTGCTTTGCACATATACCAATCAATCGACTGGCATAAACTCGATTCGTTTAACAAAGATTTTTCAGAAATCACGTAATTGTACGCACCCAGTGGTAACTTAAAGAATATACGCGACACGTCTGACTCATCGCGTACCTCGACTACTGGCAATGTTTCCAGTGACAAAAACGGAGGCCGATACACCGAAAGTAGGAGCAGCCTGAAAAATCCAGCAACAATTTACTCGGCCACTTGCTACGGTTCATACGCCTAATCGATCCAGCGGCATCAACTCGACGAAACAATTTCGCGTAGCACAAACAATGGCTACAAACGAGTAGAAAACCAATAACCGAATATCCAAAGTATCGGGGGGCTGTAGAGAAATGCCACAACTATTCGAACCTTTTCGAGAACTTCGATTCCGTATCCCACAATCGACCGCGAACTTCTTCTTCGATCCTTCCCACAGGGAAACACTTTACACGAGATATCGAGAAAATTGACCGAACCGACGATGTTCCTTTCCTCCAAGCCTGATTTTCCATAGGAACCACGAACGACGAAGAGTAAAGGAAAACTGTACACGTGTATACATACATACGTATTTACCGGACGACGATAGTGATCAGCGCGTGTGCGACTGTTGAAATCGAAGCGAGGTTTTCCTATCCAATGGCCGGTGCGGAAAACTTCGTTTCAGCCGTGCGACTGGAATTTCGCGCTAATAAGAGTAATGGACTGCGGCGGAGGGTCCGCGTGCGGCATAAAACACGGCCGCTAGAGGCAGGATACATTCCCCGGCCGCGACGGGAAAATGGCAGACTGTCTATTTGGCTGATGGCGCAGGATTTAACCAGCCGGTTCGGCCACGCGAATATTTTTGCATGTACACGCGGAATAATATGCTCGAATAAGCCAAGCTCGCGCGCGCATACTGTAGAACGGCAGAATAGGATGTCGGGCGCCATGGTTCTCGCTGGTGAACTATGGAATCCAAGCTGCTGCTACTCTCCCCGACCGAAAAGGGACGCCATAAAACGGATACAGGGACAGAAAAAGAGAGGCAAGTGAGAGGAAGAGGGAAGAGGAACCGATTTCGCGGATTTAATCTCGCTGCAAGTCATCGCGGAACCAGCTTGTTTCCACGTTGACTACATTATAGCAAACGAAGTGGTATACGCATGAATGGGGATAGCAGATTTCCGGCTGGGTCAAATGAAACATTTTTTAATACCCATTAACGAGCTGAAATGCCATTTAGCCGGTGTAATAATTCTGAAAGCACCGGTTTCAGAAGGGATAGGCCACTCCAACTCATCCCTGTTCACCCACCTAACCCCCATCCCATCCTGTATGGGGAGCTGTGCTGTGTAGTTTCTTTTTTCCCTCCTCTCTCTCGCTCGCACTCTGTGCTTTTTCTCCCCGACTGGGACGCGAAATCGAGAATACAATGGCACGCGAACGAATGCAACGAGCGGCGGCGAGCGTTTAGCCGCTCGAGCATTTAATCCTGGCGAAAATACCAGGTGAACGCGTATTGTTCCGATATTAGAGGAATAGCAGCCAGTCTACCTGTGTATTCGTGTTAACGTACTATTGGGAC